CTTAAAGACTCTGTTCATCGGGTCCATGAACGCTGCAGGAGCATTGGTCACTCCGAAAGGCATTACCAAAAATTCGTAGTGGCCATACCTTGTCCGAAAAGCAGTCTTCTCAACGTCCTCGGCTTTAACCTTCAACTGATGGTAGCCCGACCTAAGGTCAATCTTGGAAAAGACTCGTGCTCCGTGTAGTTGATCCAGCAAATCATCAATCCTAGGCAACGGGTACTTGTTCTTAATGGTTACCTTATTAAGTTCTCTGTAATCAATGCAAAGGCGAAGTGTGCCATCCTTTTTCTTAACAAATAAAACGGGTGCTCCCCATGGTGAAGTGCTCGGCCTAATGAATCCCTTATCCAACAATTCTTGTAATTGCAGTTTCAGTTCTCTAAGTTCAGCTGGGGCCATCCTATAGGGTGTTTTGGAATAGTTGCGTTCCCGACATGATGTCCACAGTAAAACTCTATTTCTCTATCGACCTAATGGCCAGGCAACTCATTTTGGAAAGATGTCGGGGAATTTTCTTAACAAACTGTTATGTCGGTAACTCAACACTTCCGTTCAAATCACTTAGTATACTGCACAAATAACCCTGACACCCTTTTTGGATCAACTTATAGGCTTTCATGGATGAGATTAAGTAAGGTGGGGGTACTACTCCCTTACCCTGGAAAATGACCTCGGCTTGGTTTGGGGTCTTCAATGTGATGTTGTTAGTAACATAATTAATGGATGCATGATTCGCCACTAACCAATCCATTCCCAATATGACATCGAAGTGAGTCATGCTTAATGGCATCAAATCAACTAATAATTCTACACCCTCAATCACCACAACACACGCCCTATATACAGATGCAACAATTATAGTTCCCCTAGATGGAGTAAATACGGATAGCACATAATCAAAGGGTTCTAGTGATCTGTTCAACTTCTCGGCAAATTTAACAGATACAAATGAATGCGTAGAGCCCGAATCAATCAAGATGTATGCAACTTGAGAGCAAATTGAGAGTGTACCTGACACTACCGTTTCAGTATTCTGGGTGTCTCCTGGCACTAGAGCAAAAACTCTGCCCTGTCTCATCTATGTCCTTCCGACGCTGTTTCCATATGTAGAGCCCGAGGTGCTCCCATTTTTCTTACCGTCATCAGTCCTTACCTTCGGACAGTCTTTCATACGATGACCCATTTCACCACATTCAAAACAGGCTCCCGATGCCCAACGGCAAACTCCGGAATGCGGTTTCCCACAACTTGCACACGTCGGCTTAGGATTACCTTCCTGGTTTGAGTTGCTGGAGCTGCCCACATTCACTGTCTTCTTGGTGTTAAACGGAACTCGACGAGTGTCATAGTTCTGTCTCTTCCTCTGGCTCTCTCCTGAATTCTGGTATCGGTTCAAATTAGCTTCTGCAAGGATGGCCTTATCCAATACTCCGGTGTAGGTCGGCATGTTGAGCATGTTAACTTGGTCTTGTATCAGCCCACGAAGCCCGCTTTCGAACTTCCTGACTTTTCTATATTCGTCATCGACCATGTGAGGCGCATATCTCGCCAACTCGGTAAAAGCACGGTCATATTCTGCCACTGTCTTGTTGCCTTGTGTCAGAGTCTGGAACTCTATGGTCTTGCGGTCTCGAACGCTAAGGGGAAAGTGTTTGTTGTAAAACAACTCCAAAAATCTGGCCCAAGTTAGACCTGGGTTGCTCTCTCGGGTCATCATCCACCATCTTCGTGCATCGTCGTCTAATGTGAACGCAGCCAATGATACCTTCTGGGCGTCGATGCTGGGAAAAATCTCAAACAACTTCTCCATTTCCAAACCCCATGCTTCGGCTTTCATCGGTTCAATACCCCCAGAGAATCTCGGCGGTTTCATTTTCTTAAACTCTCGGATCAGGGCTATGGTGCCGTCCCCATATAAAGCTTGCTGTGGAGGCACTTGCGGCGCTGGAGGAGGCGGAGGTGGAACAGCATGTCGGCCGTTTGTTTGCTCGGCCTGGGTAGAAGTAGTACCAGTGTCTTGTGGCCTAGGTTGTCTCAACTCGCAGACTAAACCTTCAACCAATCTCTCTAATCTATCCAACTTGTCTTCGGAATGATCTCGGCCAACTGGTGGTCTCCCCCTTCTTATGATGCTAAGAGTATGCAAAATATAACTTTAAAATAAAACAATCAAATAGACATGTATGCAAGTAACAAACAATCAAGCCGAGATGATGCACACTTTGTCAAATAGCAAGCAACATGATGCAATCCTAACATCAATTCTAAGGGAAGTCCTACGCTCTTTAGGTCTCAAAGTGTGTGAATAACGTACCATAAGGAACCTGGCTCTGATACCAATCTGTCATGACCCCATTCCGCCCCTAGTAGAATGGTGCCATGATGGCCAGTAATTCACAATTACCCAAGGCCAACTTGCAAGGTTTCACACACAACAGAGTATACATATGGGGCTTACAAGTGCGGAAGTAATAAATTTAAAACTAAGTAGTCCATAAGAGCTGTGCATAAGTCAAATGGAATGGCATACATCATTACATAGCTTTACAATCTTGAATACAAACAAAAGGAAGTACAAAAATACATCTTGACCAAAAGGCTTCTTAAGCCGTCAAATACAAAATACAAGGGAATACAACCAAGAAGCATGATCTTCAAGATACTACAGAAATGCTAAATCCAAAACAAATTGCAAGCACGTCTAGGCGTCACCGCTGTCTTGTTCGTCACCTATATATATAGAGAGAGGGGTGAGCTTGGATACTCAGTGAATGGTATAAATAATAAAGGGGTTTACATGAATGATATCCGAAATCTTTATCAAATCAAGGCACATCACATCTTGTATAAAATCCAAGGCAAATCAAGTTTATCTAACAAATCTTTCAAGTCTCAACAATTAAAGCCTTTCAAGGCTTTCAAGTTCCAAGGGATGACATTAACAAAGGTTGTGCCACAAATGCTTATAGTCCCCTAGCACGTACGGACTTTTCAAGATTGTGCTACAAAAAGCTAATGTCCCCTAGCACGTACAGACTTTCAAAGATTGTCAAAACCAAAGCTAATACTTGACACACTAAGTAGGGATAGTCATTCATGCTTAACAAATACTTTTCCAAAACAAGCAAGGCAAAACTTTATCAAAACTTAATAACATAACTTTATTAAAAATACCACTCACATAGTTCTTTCAATGTCGGGGTCAAGCGAGAGTCCAAGTCCTACAAACACATGGCAAAGTCTATTGAATGCACTATCAAACAAGCTTTACATGAACGCAATGATCTCGGCATTCTTTCGAAGCCAAGGCAAACCAAAACAAAACAGCTGTTTCTTATCTCGGGCAGACATGCTGGGCACCAACCAGGTCTTGGCCGAGGTCCCACACCTCCTTGCCGAGGTGTGGTCCCGTGGCCGCATTCAAGGGAATGAAGTTGGAAAAATCTGGGTTTCCCTTTCTTGAAGGACATGACGAACAAGAAGAACATGAACATGAAGAACATGGATACAAAGATCATAACTTATCATTACAAAATCTGAGATTTCATGCTATGAATTCAAAAACATAAACCTGGGCACCCATACTCGAAGATTTCGTGACAATAAACACAAAATATGAATCTTGATGCAAGCTTTCGGATCAAAACAAGACTTCTATTCAAAAACACATGAACACTATTTTCTCTTTCTAAAACCAATTTTAAATCGATGCATGGTTTGCAAATCAGGTTTGATCGTGCAATGCAGCTAGATGAGCAATAAGAACAACAAGAGTAAATCAAGAATCTAACCTCAATACACAAATCTAACGGTTTGATCTCTAGGAATCAAGTTCGAAAGCCCACTCTCTCACTCTAAAACTTCTTCTCCTGCCTAGAGCTTATCTCTCTCTACAAGGCGAGGATATAATACAAAAATGTATGTTTTCTGGGTCTGTCGGCTGACTTAACCCTCTGCAGGGGTACGTGGTAACGGCTGGTTGGTTCTACTCAAAAAGGCGACTGAGTGAAAAGACAAGACTATGACAAAGTGTACTCAACAAGCTAGGCGGCAAGAGCACTCCGACAAGTAACGACATCGGCTAACAACAAGACTTCGACAAGCAAAGGGCAAAGACCTCGGCTAGAAAGGACAACACTTGGCCTAGCTGTGCCACACCTTGGTCTAGATGTGCCACACCTTGGTTTAGGTCGTACCAATCCAGGAGTAAAGGGTAACATCTCGGCCTAGATAATACACATCTCGGCCTAGGTGATGAACACCTCGGCCTAGATAGTGACATCTCGGCCAACATGTCAGAGCAAAGGTGGAGTCAACCAAAGTAAATTCCAAGATGGTCTTAGATGTAAGAGGTTCAAAACTGACCTAGGCTCAGGGTGACCTCAGCTAAACTCACACCAAGCAATGTACAAAGCATGCTGTAACACTTAAGCGAACAATGACAAAACTTGAAATACAAGCTTAACAAGACAGAATCATATGAATACATATGAGTATGGTTAGAACAATATGAGAATTATTACACTAGTACCCCACCCACACCACACCTAATTTACATTAGAGCATTTCTGATTTCTGATGAAGCGTCGTCTCATCCATCCACATCCACATCCACATCCATCTAGTACCACAACAACAAACAACAATACCTACTGTACTGATGATATCATGACGATCACCATGTCCCTTCGCACCAGCACCCCTCTCTCTCTCTCTCTCTCTCTCTCTCAAGTCTACCTTTTCAGCGAAGATGAAGTCGCACCTCTTATTTGTCTACCTTTTCAGCGAAAATGAAGTCGCACCTCTCATTTGATTTTTGTTGACATTAACTCCTCTGTTATCATCCTGATCTTCACAATTTGAATAAAAACAGCTCATATTTTTTGTGAAATCATTCAATCATAAGCGAACGAAATGTAATAACAATTGCTCCAGTTCTTGGCATTGATGCATGCAATTCTAATATTGTATTTCCAAATTTCAAGAATATGAGTACATAAAATCTAGTTAATAATTGATAGACCAAATATGAAACAGGGAGGGGAGGGAAGGGGTTACAACGACAACAACATCAACATCAACATCAACATCAACATTAGCACTTATTAAATAAAACTATAGTCCGAGTTCAAGATCCAAGCCAGTTTCATTGTCATCTTTTTGATCATTCTTCTTGGATTTCTCGTGGTGGTGGTGGTTGTTGTTCCAGGGAGCAGGAAAGAAGAGAGGCGCCTTTCTCAACTCCTGTTCTTCGGAGAAATCTTCCCATTCAAACGAGGGAACCCAACTCGATTTTTGTCCCCCCTCCTCATGCTCTGTTTTGGCCCTCTTTGTCGTCGTCGTCGTCGTCGTCTTCATCATGTTCATCGTGTTCTTGTTCTTCCCCATCTCCATTTCTTTCAATTCATTTCTTCTGCGATCTCGAGCTTCCCGAAAGCTTCTTAGAAGGGCAAAGAACTTGTCCATCTTCTTCTCATCATCTTCTTGCTCCTCTGGCTCGCCTCCTCCTCCTCCTTCTCCATAATTATTAATTCTCCTCTTGTTCTTCTCGTTTAAATCCATTGTTTCTTTCCTGCCGCCAATAAATTATAATTATAATAATTACAAATCAAAGGGGTAAACAATTGCACTCACAGCAACATTCGAATCGAATTTTGTGAAACAACACAGCCAACTACTATGCCAGAAGGGGAACCAATTTATAGTGTTTTACCGTACGAGTAAAAAGACTGAAATGCCCTGCCGCTCTCAATTCTTTGGTTTGTGTTTGTAGAATAGTTTTTGAGATAAAAAGTACAAAAATTTGTTTGGTTTTTTTTTTTTTTAGAAATGATTTTAGAAAATTGTTTTGGGGAGAGAGTTTTAAAAAAAGTGATTAATTTGATGTGTATGACAGAGAATAATTTTAAAAAGTAGGTAACCAAACAAAATTTTAAATTTTTTTTTAAAAAAATTTATTTAATTTAATTACTCTTAAAAATTTAATTAAAGAGAATTTTTTTCAATATTTTTTTAAAAAAACAAACCAAACAAGCCTTTGTATTTGGGGTCGTTTGGATTAACAACACCAATTGCGTCAATGATGGCGTAGCTTTTAGTTTGTGGGCGTCAAATGCCTGACGTACTGAATCATTGCACTTGTTGATGACATATAATCGTGATGTCAGCTTTTGCTATTTCCATTATTTGAACCAAATGTCAGAGTCTGGTCAGCTATTGATTATTTGAAAATATTGTTTTTCTTCGGATTCGTGCAACTCATTAATCAACGCATTTTTCTATGCTTATATCAATGGTTGTTGAGCGGTTATTTTTATCAAAAATTGTACCCAAAAAAATTAAGAAATAATCATTTTGCTTAGTTAAAGTTTTTCAAAAATACTTTTAAAAAAATTTTACTTTTTTATTTTTTTGTGTTTTTTTATTTTTACTGATTTTTTTTAAATATTTTAAGTAAATTTTTTAATTTTTAGACGTACCTAACATAAATATACTTAAAAAGTAAAAAAATTGTGAAAAAAATATTTAAAAAATTCACTAAATATCAAAAATATAAAAAATATGAGAATTCAATATATTTTTATATTTTTATGTATTTATTAATTTTTTCACAAATTTTTTACTTTTTAGATACATCTGAGTAAGGTGTATCTAAAAAAATAAAAAAAAAATATTTAAAATTTTAAAAATATTCACTAAAAACAAAAAAATAAGAAAACAAAAAAACTCAATTTTCAAAAAATTTAAACCAACAAACTCAAACTAAACACACTGAATATGACTTTAAAAAAAAATAAAAAATATGTTAAAATAATTTATGGCAAGCAAATGTGAAGTAATGATATAACTCTATTTTTATTTAATAATTTTAATTTATGAGAAGGACTAAAATATTATTCACTTAAAACTCTTACTACTTCGGCTTATTTTGGCAACATAGTTTTTAGCCACTTTTTTTTGGTTAGTAGCAAAAGTCAAAAGTTGGCTTTTTTGGCTTTTTTTTCATTTGGAAAGTTGGTTTTTAGCCAACGGTGAAATTATAATTTTACCTCTCATGGGTCAAAATATGTTACATAGATGAAGTTGTAAATATTTTAAATAAATGGGGGTAGTTTGGTCATTTTATTATGATTTGACATCATAAACAAATATTAATCAAAAAAGTCAAAAGTCACTTTTTACCAACTTCCCAAATCATTTTTCTAAAAAAGCCAAAAGTTTGGTTAAAAGCCAAAAAGTCACTTTTTACCATCTTCCCAACGTTATACTCTCTCTCCAGATTTTTTTATTTTTATTTTTTTGGTGCCATGGATTTGAGTCTAGTTTTGGATATCTTTAGCTATTTAGGGTTGTTTTGAAAATATAGTTAAAAGTTATATTTTTAAATTTTTTTTAAATATGTAAAAAATATAAAAGATGATATTACTCAAAATGAGTTAAAAATTGAAAAATGACTTTTAACCGTGTTTCTAAAATAACCCTTAATTTTGATTTTTGACCTATTGGTTGTTTTTGTTTAGTACCAATTTGTGTGTATGAGTTTATTAGTTATATTTTTTATATATAAAAAAAAGAGAGGAAGTTTTAGACTCTTTATATATATATATATACATATATATTTTTTCATACTAACAACTAACAAAATAACCGTTACTAATGCACAGTGCGTAACTAAAAAATAAATAAAAAGGGAACCATTCAATTCATTAAATCTTTAGATTTGATTTATATAATTAAAATACGAGTTTTGACTCAAGTTAAAAAATTTAGAAAATGATATATATACACAAAATTTTTATACAAGAACGGTTTGAGATATTCTAAATAAGTGTATTTTTTGAGTTTTTATATAAAAAAAATATGTAAAAAAGTAGAAAAAATAGATAGAAAAGTAGAGAGAATATGTTGATAGATGTGACCTAAATAAGTGTATGTATGCAAAAAAAAATACACTTTTTTAGTGCATGCCAAACACTGACTCAAAATCAGAAGGCACAATGATATTGTAGCAAATTTTGTTTATATAACACTTTTATTCAAATTTTAATTCGAATTCAAATTTAGATTAAACTTGAGCAAAGCATCAAGCAATCTAATCTCAATTTCTGATTTCTTTTGGGAAGTAGGTTGGCTTTTTAATTAGTTTAGAATTAAAAGACTCATTTGGAATGAATTTTTAAATTTTTTTAACTTTTGTGAAAAAAAAAAATAATTTTAATTTTAATATATTTTTTTATCTTATTAATTTTTTAATTTATGTTATGTTTTTTTGTAATTATTTAAATTGGTAGTCCATACCAAACCAGAACTATAGGCGTATAATAATGAAGAGAATAAAAAGAGAATAAAAAATCAACCATTCCCTTACTCAATCAGGATTCTCTCAATCCTACTTGACTTCCTACTTGTTAGGTTATTGGGTCCACTTTTAGGCCAAATTTTGATAATCTAAATCGTTCATATTTTAAGATTTGTTGAGTATATCATACCTGTAAAAAATTAAGTTGATCGGATATCAGAAAGTATGTGTTCAGAAACTATTTATTAAATTTTTAAAAAAAAATAGTTTTTAGTTAATTTTCCGAACATATGTTTTTTTATATCTGATCAACTTAATTTTTTATAGATATGATATATTCAACAAATTTTAAAATATAAATAAGTGAGATTATCAAAATTTGACTTAAAAGTGAATCCAATAACCTATGAAGTAGGAAATCAAGTAGAAACATTAAAGAGAGGGTCCTGATTCCCTTACTCTGACCATGTCATCAATGATCTCACAAGCATTTCATTTGCAGACCTTGCATAAAAGTACGGACATTAGTAATAATTAAACAAAAAGCGATTATTACATTATATGTATGATGTCGTGGGGTCAAGATTTGCGTGTTTAAAGTTATAGCAAAAAGTTTTATTCGATACAAATTATTCAAATTTTTTTATTAATTTTTTTAAAAGATTACTTTTTATTTTAAATTTTTTTATTAAATTTGATAAAAAAAATTATTAACTTAATAAATTTGACATGCTATTATATATATATATATATATATATAACTTTGTTTAGTATGCTTACAATAGGCAGAATAAGTTGTAAAAGTTAAAAAAAAATAATAATAATAATTATTGTAAAGTTGGAGATAAATGTATCTAGTTTTTACTTTTTAATTATTAATTTTTAAATTGTAATAAATTACCCCAAACATATTCATTTTTCAAAGCAAAGGCATTTCAACACATTTATTGGGCATATTATGTTTTCTTTCAAAACGACTTGGGGGCCATTTGGGAAGCAAAAAAATAATAATTTTTAATTTTTAATTTATTTTAGGTCACATCACCTCTCATATTATTTACACACAAAAGAACAAAAAAAATTAAAAGTTAACTTTTAACAAACTTTCCAAATCACCTCTTAGTACCTACAACAAGGTATTAGGAAATTAACCAAGAAAATAAATGAAGTGGTGCAATTCAAATGGTGTATTGCAAGTCTATGTATAGATTAAATTTAGAGGAAATATCATTTTGCCTCTCAAACTTTCACGAATTTTTCAATTTGATCATTATACTTCGATTAAATCAATTTTACACTCAAACTTTCAAAATTTTGATCAATTTGGCCCTTGCCGTCATATTCCGCCTACAATTGAATGGAATGTGCTGATGTAGCATCAAAATTCATTTAGAATTTTATTTTACCCCCAAACTATACCTTAAAGATCAATTTGCCCTCCAAATATAAAAAAAATTAAATTTAAATATTTAATAAATAATTTTTTATCTCAATAACGAAAGTTTTAAATTTTAAAAAATATATAATTTGCAAAAAAATAAAAAATATATATATAAAAATTCTCATTTAAAATTATCTTGCAACAATGAAGCATAGGTACTTCGACAAACATGTCGTACCTGTACCGGGTACTTACCAAATTTTAAAAAAAAAAATTCCACTCAATTTTAAAATTACGATTAGTTGATTAAAATTAATTTGGGTAATAAACTAGTTACAATTGCACATGCACACATACATAGAGTAACCAAGAAATTTCGGCTCAATAAGCTTCTCTAGGGTCGACTCAAGATAATTTTAGATCTATGAAACACAGGTATAAGTATGAATATGGATATGAGTACTGGTATACGATACACGTACATTGACATGGTAAAATCCAAAAAAAAAAAGAGTAAGGTATTTGAAGGGCTTAATACGTTTGTAAAAAAAATATTTATTTTTAATTTGAAATAATATAAAAATTAATTAAATTGTTTAATTTGTTAAATCCAACATACAATTGACATTTAATACCAAAAGTATATGTATAAGATAAACCAAAATTAAATATTATTATATTAAATAACTTACAAACCATAACTTAATTTTAAAACCATACTAAGCACAAAATTAAAAATGAAAAAGAAGTCTAGTAAAAGGAATTTAATCTTTGTAGTAGAAGAAAACATTGTTTCAACTAAGGTACGACACAACTTAAGTATATACTACATATATCTAAGTAAAAAATTAAAAAAAAAAAGTTTGAGTACATGTTTTGTATACCCAGTATATAGGCAGAAATACCATACGTTGGTAAGTACCCGGTACAGGTATGGCATGTTTGTCGAATTATCCATTCTTCATAATCTCAAGACAATTCTAAATGA